GCATAGTCAATGTAACACAGATAAGACATTCCTCTAGTACTCTTTGCTTTCTGCCAAGATCTATCTGACATTGGCAATGATGTCTCTAGTGCCATGACATCTTCTAACCCTATCTTGTATTTCTGGTAGTTCTGTCAATGTATTTACTGTTCTAGTCATTTTTGGATAATCTTCAGCCAGAATTTTGTTTGTGTGTAGTGATACTGTTTGATAATTTCCACACACTGTTGGGTCACCTTTTTTTTTTACAATGGGAAAAATATGGATCTCTTCCCGTCAGTTGGATAGGTAGTTTTCCTTCAGATTTCTTGGTACAATCTGGTGAGCACATCCAAGGCAGCATTTGTTTGTTCAAATATGTCAATTGGTATTCCAACAATTCTGGTGCCTTGTTTCTTACCAATTCCTTCAGAGCACCTAATCTTCCTCTATCATCATTGGCTTTTTATCATATGTAGTTTCATTGAATTCTTCGGTGTTAAGCAATTCTTTTTGGTACAGTGACTCTATACTCCTTCCATCCTCTTTTAATGTTTCTTGGATTGGATATCATTCATAAGCATATAAGAAAATCCTGTTCATTTAATTGTTCTTTAAATACACACATCAATCTTGAAACCAAAGATTAAGAATTTAAGATTGAGAATTTCTACTAACTTTTGAAATCTGAAATTGATTGAATATACAATCAAGGTGAGTGAATTATAACTGATGATGGGATTGCAAAAGATAAAGGATAGGTAGTTGAAATATGTGGCCTTGTTGAGATAAATGAGAATGGTTATGACATGACAAAATGTTGTATAATTTATGATTTAGTCATTGCAACTACTTTTCTTAAAACAAAAAAGCATGGAAAGTACAATACAGAATATCAAGACCACTAGTGCAATTTTCAACATGTTGGAGGCACAAAACAGCAGAACAGAAGAAATGGAACAGAGAACAAGACATAAAAGACAAACTTCAACAAGAATCTACAAGAAGAAAAATAGAAGTCAGAAGGAAAATTCTATTCAGTCAATGTGGTGCACAAATAATCTGAGAAGCTGGAATGTATGACGAAGAATGTGTCATCAGGATTGAAAGAATAAGACTCATCAACAACCTGTGTTATGCAGAGGACACAACCTTGCTTGTAGAAAGTAAAGGCATGAAGCTCTTACTGCAGATCAAAGACTACAGGTTTGAATATGGGTTACACCTCAACATCAAGAAAACAAAAACCCTTATCAATGGACCAATAGGCAACATCACAATAGAAGGAGAAAAAAAATGAGGTTGTCAAGTATCTTCTTCTACTTGGACCTACAATCAATGCCCATGGAAACAATAATTATGAAATTGAAAGAAAGACAGCACTGGGGAAATCTGCTGTCAAGAACTTCTTCAAAGTTCTAAAGAGCAAGCATGTCAGTTTAAAGAATAAGATGCAAGGGAGCTCTGATAGTCTAGTGGTAAGAAGTTGTACTGCAATGTCAAAGAGTAAGGAGCTCCTGATCCAAGCTATAGTTTCTTCAATAGTTTCCTATGCATCTGAAAGTTGGACAATGAATAATGAAGACTAAAGAATAGATGCCTTTGAATGGTGACTGTGAAAAATGTTGAATATTCCGTGGAATTTCAAAAGAACAAACAAATCTATAATGAAGGAAGTGCAACTGGTGTATTCCTTAGAGGCAAGGATGATGAAACTTTTTCTCATATACTTTGGACCTATTCTCAAAAGGAACCATTCCTTGGAGAGACATCTCCTGGGAACTGTGGAGGGTCAGAGAAAGATAAGCAGATCCTCAACATGATGGAATGACACAGTGACTACCATAACAGGCGTAAGCAGAGATTGTGAGAAGATGATGCAGGACAGGACAAGGTTCAGATCTGTTGTTCACATGGTCCCTTATGAGTCACAGTTGACTCAAGGGCACCTAAAAACAGGCCAATCACTACCTCTTCCTCTCAGACTCAATGAATGGGTTAAAACTTCTCAGTTAGCAGCCAAGTGCTTAGCTAAACTATTGTGTCACTAAGTCTCGTTGACTCTAAGCTTATTCTAATTAATCTGTTGTTGTTGACTGCCATCGAGTCGAGCACAACTCATAGCGACTGTATGAACAAAAGGCCTGAAGCCTTTCTATAACTTTCATCATTTATCAAAGTTCATAGTTTCCAAAAGCATGTTACTTAGGAAGTGGATGCCAAAGCCATTACATCTAACCTAAGAAGAGTACCTAACTTCTTGTTGTTGTTGATTGCCTTCAAGTCAAGCACGACTCATAGAGACCCTATCAATAAAAGGCTTGAAGGTACTCTACAACTATTGACTTTTATCAAAGTTCATAGAGTTTTCAGAGGCATGTTATTTAGGAAATGGATGCCACTCCTGCTTGCTAAAACTTTGGAATGACTATCATCAACAGCTGACTGTCATCATCAACTTTCTTGACTATTAGGAAAGATCATCAGGGATGTATCCTTTCTCTCTACCTAGTCAATCTATATGCTGAGCAAATCATTTGAGAAGCTAGACTTTACGAAGAAGAATGTGGCATGAGGATTTGAGGAAAACTCATCAATAATTTGCGTTATGCAGAAGATACAATCTTGTTTGCTGAAAGTGAAGAGTACTTGAGGTGCTTGCTGTAGAAGGTTAAACACCGCTGCCTTCGATTGCATCTCAACATCAAGAAAACAGGGAGTTCTGGTAGCCTAGTTGCAAGAACCTGTGCTGCAATTCTGAAGACATGTGGTTCAAATTGCTCTGCTGGAAAAGGAGGGGCAATCTCCTCCTGTGCCCATCGGATCTGATTTTAAAAAAAAAATCAAGGAAAAAAAGAATAGAAGACAACGAGTCTCACCATGATGCCAGCAGGCAATATCACGATAGATGGATAAGAGACTAACATTGTCAATTATATTATCTTACTTGGATCTACAATCCACACTCTTGGTACCAGAAGTCAGGACATTAAGATATATTCTGATAGTCTGCTGTCAGGGACCTCTCCAAAGTCCAAAAAAGCAATGATGCCAGTCTAAAGATTAAGGTGTGCCTGATTCATGTCATGGTCTTTCCAATCACATGCTATGCACCTGAAAGTTAGACAATAAAGATTACAGAAGATTTCAATAAAGATTACAGAAGACTCTATGTCTTTGAGTTGTGGTGTTGGAGAAAAGTACTAAATATCTCATAGATTCCCAAAAGAACAAACAGATATGTCTAGAGAAAAGTGCACTCAGAATGCTCCTTGGAAGCAAGGATGACGAAGCTTGGTCTCACATACTTTGGGCATGTTGTTAGGAGGCCTATTCCCTGGAAAGGGACATCAGGCTTGGAAAGATCAGTGAAGGAGAGGAAGACCTTTGTCAAGATGGAATGACACAGTGACTGTAGCATGGGCTCAAGTATGTTGGCGATGATAAGGATGGCACAGGATAGGACAGGTTTCAAATCTGCTCTTCATGCGGTAGCTATGAATTGTACTCACCTCAATGGCACATAAAATAACAATTATCAACAATAGGGTTTTCATAATGTTGCTCTATGTAATTCTAGGAAGTCTCTAAAAAAGATGTCTTTGGGTACACTAAAGAGATTGACCTCTGCCCGTGGTCTATAGGGAGATGCACTGCTAAACCAAAGGCCGCATCTCTCTGTCAGTTCAACCAACAAGCAGGACTGAGGAGAAAAGATGAGATTTATAGCCTCAGAAACAGGCTAGAATTTTAAATCCATTTAAATCAATGACCAAAAACACTGTCATAATATATCCAATTACTCTAAACATTAATATAGGAACACAAAAGCAATTTAAAAGATCTTACAGTTTCATGTGCAAAATAGAACATCATTAAATAACTAGTCATTTTAAAGTTCTGAGGTAATTAGAAATTTTGGGTACAGGATAAGTTTCTGACCTATTGTTCAGAGGGTTGCTGTGAGTTGTACTCAACTCAATAGCTCTTAACAACAACTTTAATATTTATGACTTACAGATACTCTCAGAAAAGTAACCTTTTTAAGGAAGGTAGGCTGGCTATGAATGGAATGAGAATGTAGTGTCAATTCCTTGAAAGCAGGAAGGAAGAAGTTTCTTCTAAACCTAAGATAAAATGCCAGCCTTGTGATCCAAATGCATCATTATTACAAATTCCTGTTCTTCAAAAGTAACTACTTCTGCTTACCCCCAAAACTAGAAAAACCATGCTGTATTAAAGAAATGGTGTCTGCGTTGCACAGACAATTATATCTCTGAATGCATATAATTTTCCCTTATAGAATATATAATCATTAATTCCTAAAATGTGTCAAAACAAATTTCAACATTTTATCAACTAAAATAAAGCAAAATTACTTTTATACATGGCATTGTAACCATTTCAGTCAGACAAAAAAGAAACTAAGACTGCATAGTTGTTGTTGGGTGCCATCAAGTCAACCGCGACTAATATGGCCCCATAAACAGCAACAGATCTTAACCTTGTCCTGTCCTGCATCATCCTCACAATCTACATCATGATCAAGTTCATTATGGTATTCAGTCTTTCTAATTGAGAATATTCTTCTCTTTAACTGACATTTTAAGTTTAATAATTAAATAATAGATTTAACGTAAAAGTAAATAGCATGTTGGTTTTGTTTATCTCCAACCAGAAATGTCCATATGCATCCCTTTCCATTTTTTATGTAAGAAAAGGAGAAAAACTAACTTCCCTTATTTTGTGACTACCGTCCACTGCACCAAGGGAAAACAATATTTACAACCATCTAAAGTATTCATTTCTCTACAAAAGCACAGTCTAACACAAAAGCCATCAAAGTTGCTTTTGTCATAGTATTTTATCTATATATGTGTGTTTAGTTTTAGATTAAATGTCAAGCAAATTCATTGTAAATACATAATTGATTTTAAGAGCAAAGGCATTTTAAGTTATTGTGCAGGAGCACTACTTTTTAATTTAAAAAAAAAAAAAAAAAGCAAAACTTAGCAACCTACCAGCTTTAACTTGTTTTTCTGAATAACATCTTTATTTTCCTTTTGGTATATCTCCATTTTCTTTTTGGTGTTGTCCAAATCAATGTTGTTGGTCAAGTTGAAAACTGTAACAGAGAGGAAACAATGATGTAAAATGGAATTTTAACATAAAACTTGAGTAGACAATTAAAACCAAATATTCACTACAAATGTTTATACATTTGAAGCTCCTTACAGTTCTATTTGTGTCCTTTAATTTGTTACCTATTGTAAACACTAACTCGAGTTACAAGTTGTCTGAGCGAAATATAAGGACAGACCATCAGACAAATGCTATCTAAGTATCAGAATCAGCCCAGAACACATAAAATAGATGCATACTTTGACTGTGGTTCTTGTTGTGTGCCATTAAGTCACCTGCGACTCATAGACACCCTATGTACAACAGCTCTAAACCCTACCCTATCCTGAGCCAGTCTCACTAACTCCGACACACCTACCCCTATTGCCCTAGTTACTGTATCTCATTGGGGGCCTTCCTCTCCTGCACTGTCCCTCCTTCTAAGCATGATGTCTTTCTCCAAGGACTGCTCCCTCCTGTCCATGTGCCCAAAGTATATGAGATAGAGCTTCAAAATCATTGCCTCCAAGGAGAAGCTTGGGTTCACCCTCTCTAAGACAGGCCTATTTGTTTTCTTGGTGGTCCACGGTATATTCAAGACTCTTCTCCAACACCACAACTCAAAGGCATCAATTCTTCTTTGGTCATTCTTAGTCACTGTCCAGCTCTCTGATGCAAAGCAAGTAATTGCAAAGACTATGGCCTGGACCAGGTGCACCTCAGTCTCTTGAATGACTCATTGCTTCTCAGACTCTGAGATATTGCTGACAGCAGATTTTCCCCAATACAATTCATTTTCTAATTTCCTGATTGCTGGTGCCAATAGTGTTTGATGGTGGAGCTGAGCAAACTTTAATTGTTAACAGCACAATTTCTTCTCCATCTTTCATGGTGCTGCCAATTGGATCTGTGGTGACAATCTTTGTCTTCCCAATGTTGAGCTTCAATCCATACTGAAGACAATAGATTCTATTTTTATTATCCTCATGGCCACATTATTATTTGGGTGTTTCATTAGGATTTGAGTGAAGGCTTACAAAGCAAATTGATTTTCCACTCAATCGTTCATAACATTTTATTTTAGAACATTAACTATAATATCCACAATATAACTGTGCTCTTCTTATTTCTTCCCTGTAATCCTTGCTCCCATTAACCCTCTTAGCCTATCATTTACTGTCTCAGAGTAAATGCTGACCTTCTGATCTGCTGGATCACCTTTCTGTGGAATAGGTATAAACCAGATCTTTCCAGTTAGTTGTCCACGTAGCTGGCTTCCAAATTTCTTAGTAAAGACAAGTGAGCAAGTCTCGCTCTGCATCCATTTGTTCAAATGTCTCAAGGTGCATTCCACCAGTTCCTGGTGCCCTGTCTCTCACCAAAGGCTTTAGCGTAGGTTGGTCTTCATCCCTTAGAACCATTAGTTCTTGATCATATGCTACTTCCAGAAATGATTAAATGTTAATTAGTTTTTATATAGTGACTCTTTGTACTCTTTCCATTATCTTTTAATACTCCCTTGGTCATTCAATATTTTGCTCATAGAATACTCCAGTACCTGCAAGTGAAGACTTGATTTTTTTTTTCATCTGTTGTTTCACCTTATAAGTGTCAAACTGTTCTTCTCTTCTGTTTGTCTTTACATCTCATTATAATACTTTGTTTTATCTTCTTGAGCCATAGTGTATCATTTCTTCCATTTGCTTCTCTATGTTCTAAAGTAAAAAGCAAATTTTAGAGTCTCTTCTGACATGTGTTTGGTATTTTCTTTTTTCCCCCTGTTTTCTTATATAATCTTTTTTGCCTTTTTCATGAATAAGGTCCTCGATGTCATCCTACAATGCATTTGGTCTTTGGTCATTAATGTGTTAAATATATCCTGGAAATGATCTCTAAATTCAGGTGAGATATAGTCATGGTTTTATGATGGCTCTTATAAATATGTTTTTATTTTCTTCAGTTTTAACTTGTACTTGTTCCACAACAAGCCCCTCACCTTGTTCTCACTGACAATATTGCACTTCTCCACCACCTCTTTCCACAGATAGAGTCAATTTGATTCCTGTGTGTTCCACCTGATAAGTTCCACAGGTACAGTCTCCATTTACATTTTTTAAAAACTCATTGTACAAAATTCTATCATGTGATATTTGGCCTCATTTCTAACACCAAAGTCATATTTTTAACCACCAATAACTGTTTCAACTTGTGTATTCCAATGACCAGATATGATTTTACATTCTACTGACTGATCAATTTAGCATAGTTCTACTCTGAAACAAACCTAGTCACTACACGTCAGAATTGATCAAAAGACAACTGAGTGGTCTCCAGAGTTCCTTCAAATCTCTATCATTTCATTTTCCTTTAACTAACAACCTTTCTAAATAGTTCCTAGACTGTTGGATTATAGAAACTTGGTAAACTGAAATTATCATGAAGGGAAATAATAACTAAATTAGTACTAATCTATATAATGCCTAATTTGATTAAAATAAACTTTATAATTACTGATGTTAATACTGTAAAGTTTAAACCTACAGGGGGAAAAAACCTGTGAGTTCTTGTAAAACAAATCCACTGAAGAGATATTCAAATTGATATCCTATATAAATAAATCTCTACTGGAATATTTAGAACTGTTACACACCCATGAACACACACATGAACAATAACAGCAAGCTATACAATTCTCTGTTGACTTAAAATTTTCATTAAATAGAACCATGAAAACAGTCCAAATGTCCAACCATAATCGAATTGATTGAGAAATTATGATACAATCACGTGATGGAATACTACACAGCACGCAAGAGTAATGAGTAATTTTGTAAATCACAACCTAATTTGGGAGGGACAGAAGAGCATTATGCTAAGTGAACTAACTCAATCCCACAAGAAAAAATACTGTATGAGATCATTATTGTAGAATGTGTATGAGGATCGGAGGGCGGGTGGGAGCAGAGGCGTGAGGATGGGGGATAGTGTTAATCATATGGTTGCACAATTTGATGATGGGTGGAGGGAAGAGTACGTAAAGGAAATAGGAAGGACCTGGTATGAAAAACAATGTAACTTTGTATATAAGTAAATCAGGATAAAACAAAACTTGTAATTAAATTTTAAAAAATGTAAATTAGTATGTGTGTGTGTGTGTGTGTGTATATATCTCACCTAAAAATAAGTACAACATAAATTCCAAGTGAAATAATTTTTATACACTTTCTTATGATGCATTAAGTATAATAAAA